CAGTTATGAGTTTTGCAGCAGCAGGGGTTTTGCCCTGTGGGAAGTGCCATTTCTAAAGAGAGGAGATAAGCATGGAGGGGGCTTGGGCATAATTGTTCAGGGATGCTGGCCTTGTCAAAATGGGAAGGCTGGGAGTGATTAATAGTTTTCTGTCCCTTTTTCACCACTGTTCCCCATGTCTCTTGTGTTTCTTGGAAAACGCAGGTGACAGGGCCGTGGCAAACAATTTTAACACTTAAGGAATACTTTCTTTCTTTCTTTTTTTTTTTTTTAAAGATTTTATTTATTTGATAGAGACAGCCAGAGAGGGAACACAAGCAAGGGGAGTGGGAGAGGGAGAAGCAGGCTTCCCGCTGAGCAGGGAGCCCGACGCGGGGCTCCATCCCAGGTCCCTGGGATCATGACCTGAGCTGAAGGCAGACGCTTAACGACTGAGCCACCCAGGCGCCCCAAGGAATACTTTCTCTTTGTTTTTCTGCCACAGCTCCCAGGGTGTCACTGTTATCCTCTGTCACAGGGTGGGAATGGGGGTGGGGCTTGGGAGGAAGAGGGAGGAAAAAGTGCAAGAGACCTCAAAGACTTTTCTTGGCCCCCTCCCTATTTTTCCTGGTATTTCGGAAGGGTCAGAAACAGCATCCAGGATGGTGGAAATTGCACCCCACTCCTGCCCAGTATGTCTACATCCCTGGCTGCTGCTTTTAATGCCTTTCTTTGTGATGCCTGGGACAGTGTGTGTGTGGGGGGGTGGGGTGGGGGTGGGGGGACTAACTAGAAATTGGGCAATCACTTTGGGCAGAAGGGAACAGAATTTTAGGAAGCCATCAACATGATATACCTCATTCTAGTTCCTCCTTGAGAAAAATCCATAGTACATAGAATTATATGCTGCTATTAAATTAATCAACTGAATTTAAAACTTTACAAGGGCAGGGACCATTTTTTTTTAAAAAAGATTCTCAGTCCCTAACACAATGCTGGGCACACAGCCAGCATTTGTTGATTTCACAAGGGAAGTGGTTAAGTTTTGTGTAGTGAGGTCATCTTGGCAAATCGTTGAACTGCTCTGCAACTCTGCTTCCACATCTGCAAAGTCTCTTTACCTTCCAGGGATATTGTAAAGATTAAATAAGATGATGACTTTAATAATGACACTTTCCAGTTTTGAGCTGTTTCATCCATTTTCATTTTTGATTTTCTCTACTCTAGGCATTGTAACCTAAGTAAGGAGACCAGATATGCAGGCTGGAAAAAGCTTGACTTTGGTTATTATTTTGTAATAAAGCTTTTCTTCCTAAGAGAACTTCATCAGGCAGCTGGTCAAATTGGTTCGGTAGAATGGGATGCCCATGAGAGGCAACAAAAGCCAAGCTGGAAGATAATCCACAATTTGCAGCAAAGACAGAAGGATGAGATGGGGGGGTTGGGGGAGACAGAAAAAAATGGAGTTATTTGAAGGTTAATCTCTTTGGAGCTTGAAGCAAACATTTTAAAAACATATCTCAGAAAGCTCCCTTAAACTTGTCAGTTCTACAGTCTTCATATCTTGGTACCTTAGTATTTACCATAAATTTTTTACCTTTTTGAACAAAACCTTTTACCCTATCCTTATTAATATCAGGACAAGAAGAAGTATCCTCACACACTGGCTCAATTTAAATGTAAGGATATCCCCATTTTGGTCTTCTTCCATTGCCATTCAGCATTGTTTCAGTGGTGTGGCTGAAATTTTAAAGATAAAGAAAATCTTACAAATTTTGACTCTGGCCTCAGTGACCCAAAGAGCTGCCTTGGCCCAGAGAGCTGGCCCAGGCTGCACAGCCCTGTAGTTGGTATCCAGGGCCCAGTGTTGCTCAGCAAAAGTTGGATCAAAAATACTGAGGACGGTCACTAGATGTCCCTCTTGTGTCTCTAAAGAGGCTGAGGAGGCGGGGCTCCCTTCAGGATTGAAGTGAAGCTAAGACTGAGAGAACTTTTTGTCTTTATTATCCTCACCCAGAATGTCTCCCCACCCCGAATGGTTTTATTAAGTTAATTAATAAATTCCTGATCATGAAGGTGTTTTCCGCCACTGATTTAGTCAATAGCATTGTTGGAGCATAATGATCAAGTGTGCCAATTAGAAAAAAAAAAAAACACATTCTGGGAGCAAACGGTGTTAGGATTATCTGTTGCAATAGACTGGGAGGATGGAAGAAGTAATTTTTGGAGGGGAGGTGTAACTATCACTTTGAGCTTGGGGGTGATGTGAAAGAAGGAAAGCAAAGGCACACTCTTCTGCCTCCCTCAGAGCCTGGATTCCATAAAAGTGGTTTAGTATAGCTAGAAGTACTTGGGGTGCTCTGCTTGAAAAAGAGGGGTGCCTCGATGGTGAACAGTGAGCTGGAAGCAGGGAGCCTGATGCCATCTTCTTAGAGAAGAGCGCGTTTGTCTTTGCAAATGCAGAACATGTCTTTACAATGTGATTGCAATTACAAAGGTAATGACATTGTACGTGAATTGAATTCTCCTATTTATCTTTAAAAGACAGTAGAATATAGACATTCTATTAGCACTCCCCAAGGTAAGAGGTCCGCAGCCTTCTTATCTTGTTGTGTGCATCTTTACAGATGCCACGGCAATGTTAATCATTTTACCTGAGTAATTCTTCCATTTCTCGTTACCTGGGGGATTGTTAATGGCCGAGACTACTTCTCAGACTCTTTGCTCCCGCTCAATCAAGCCATGGAGGCGCCAGTTTACTTTTATTGATCAGCGGGTTCCTGACAGCCTTCACCACAAGGAAGTAGCATCATCCTTTTTTAACTTAAAGGGGAACAGATCGCCTTAAAGTTTACAGCTAAAAGCTTCTAAGCATAGCATGCAAACATTTTAGCATGCTGCTAATTGTTCTGTTTAAATAGTCCAAGCTATATTTTAGAAAGCTGCCAAACGCCGAACTCACATCCCGTGATCAGATTCCAAACCCATTTCAAATGCCTTTTTAGGCCTTTTTAATTAGACTAAGATGCACTTCATTCCCACTCCACTCGCTGACATCAAAGGTAAATAACTGTGATAAATCAAATGAAGCTCTTCTCTTTGCGGAGCTCTGAGATACGCCCACGCTGCCTGCCATGTTGTCACTTTCCTCTACTACTTGCCCATTTTTACAACCGGGTCTGCAGAAAACCGGGAGGGCCACTGGGTTCCCTTGAGCCATAACTCTGCTGTCCACACATCTAAATGACCAAAATTAAATGATACTCACTGAAGATGCCCCGATTTTCTCCCTGCTGTTTTGGGCTGAATTGCATTCTAATGCGAAAGAGCGAAAGGCTCCCCACGACGAAAGCGGATCAGGTTCCCCGCGCCCTCCCCTTGGTTTCAGATGCACGTTCAGTGGGTTGTAATGTCACTCTTGAAATAATTCCTTTTTGTAGGAGGAAGCTGTCTTCTCCTTCCCCCCACCAAGGTAAAGGCTGCTAAACTAGCTCCTCTTGGAAGGAGAAATATTTTTTTAAAAGAAGCTGGGTTGCTTTCTGCAAAAAGATGGCATTTTTTTTTTGAGAAAACCTATTATGTTTCCAAATGCCATTTCCTCTTTTCTTGCTTAATGTTTTTAAAGGGCAAAAGTGAATCTCATTTTAGGCCCACAAACTTGGGCCAGTGTCGCTGAGGCTAATTATGAGTTTGCTCACCCAAGACTCCCAAATATGCGAGACGACCCACTCAGAAGATAGGTTTACTCTTCCAAGTATTGTGAATTCAGGAGTCGGTCCCCGCCACCCCCAACCTATGATGAAAAAAACCCCAACTTGTTCAGCGGGGTGTTTTTGATTCTTTCTGCTGGTGACCTTAATTGAGAGCCACAGAACAGAGCGGGGAGGACTCCCCCACTGTCCTCAGGGCGCCTTAGTCCGGAAGGCAAGCTGAATTTGATGTCAGCCCCAGCCACGCCGGCCTCCCGCTTCCCAGCACTGGCACAGGCCTCAGCTGTCGCCACCACCGCCTGAGAGGAGCTAGCAGTCCCCTGAGACCCCGCGGGAAGGCTAGGGTGCCCCGCACACCGGCGCCGGCTCCAGCTGCCGGCCACCTACGGGGGACTGCGAGCTCGCCTTGCAGCTCCCGCAGAGCTGGGGGCTCTCCCGGCATGGCGCAGCACCGCGGCGTCCGCTCCACCCGCTCTTCTCCAGCGAACAGTTTATTTATAGGGAGCTAAATTCTCCAACAGGGTGGGGTGAGGGGCGACGAAATTTGTCCAGCCTTCTCCGCGGTTCCGTCCCTGCGAGACAGACCCCATTTGATTAACAAGCAACAGACAAGAGCGACCCGAACCGGGCCTGCTCTGGGAGAATAAGTGCTGCGTTCGCCGGGGAAGGAGGGATGGAGGTGACGGTCCCAGAGGATGGCTGCCGCGGTTCTCAGCCGAGGTGAAGACTCACCGGCCAAGAGCCGGACGACTGACCACCTCGGGGGCGCTTTCTCCTTTCCTTTTTCCTTCCAATACCCGAGAAGGAGAGGAGAGGAAGGCAGAGAAGCAGACAGACAAAACCCAGGGTGAAGAGACAAAGAGGGAGGGGGGGGGTGGTGAAGAGAGAAAGAATATGAATATGAATATTATATTCAAGATACGAGCATGTATGAGGGTGATGAACCCGCCGAGAGAATCAAATCCTCATCTTTTCTGCAACCTACAAACAGGAGAGGCGCGCAGTTCCCGGGGATGCTCAGCCGCATCGCCAGCAAACCCCCCTCCCCACTCCACCCAGTCCTCTAGCCCCCGCTTGCCCTGCCCGCCAGACCTCCTCAGACTCCCGCCCCGGCTCGGCGGGCCGGGGTACCACTTGGTCCCGCCAGTGTGTAAGTTTCTGGCTGGCCCCGCCCAGCCCCGCCCCCCGCGCCTTGGCCCCGCCTCAAGCCCGGAGCCCGCTGGGCGGCGCGCTGATTGGCCAGTGCCTGGCGTAGCCCGGCTCGGCAGCTCGGGCTCTCTCCGGCTCTCTCCAGACTCCACCGCCAGTAGTTTGCGGCATCGGGAGGAGCAGCAGCAGCAGTAGCGGCGGTGGCGGGCGCAGGGGGAAACGGACCAGCGGGCGCGGACGGCAGCACAGCTCCAGCACACCATGCCGGACTTGCCCAGAGGGCAGTGGCACTCGCGTCCCTAGCCTGGCGCAGGCCCTTGGCGCGTTGCGCTCGGCGGCGTTCCGGCTGAGCGCATTCATCGGAGATTCGAAACCTCCCACCCCTGCTCGCTCACTCTCCACACTCACACTCCCCGCACCACACACTCACTCTTCCTCTCTCACACATTCACACACTGCCTGACAGAAAGCGAGCAAGACAGACCTCCCGAGTGCGAGAGCGTCCGGGAGGGAGGGAGCCCAAACGCAGCGCGGCCAGCGCCTCTCTGGGAGGATGGAATCAAGACCCTCTCGCAAGTAAACTTTGGCGGCGACATAACCGTCGACCGTGGCAGCTGCTGAGGCGGACCTTAGCGACATTCGACTGAGCTAGGAGGATTTCTTCCCACAGCGGCGGCGGCGGCGGCGGCGGCGGCGGCCCTCAGAGCGACACCCCAGCCTAAACCAAGGGAGGAGGTGAAGCCCCGGGTACCCGCGGCAGCGGCCCCGCCTCTCCTGGCCGGTACTGTTGTCGCTTTCCCTCCCCTTTTCCCCATTCCCCGCCCCCCACCCCGGGCCATTGGAAAGACCTGGACTTTGATAAATCGCCATCGCCCCGTTTTCACAAACTTGACGTGGAGGCTCGGGCTGCGTTGGTAATTTGGATTTCCAAGACGCAAACCCCCGCAGTCCAGCTGCTCTGTGGAGGGGACTCCGCGACCACCTCCAATCCTGGACAGACGCGCCCCCCCCCCCAAGCCTTCTGAAGCCAACCTCGGCGCGAGGGAGAGCGTTCTTGTCTCAGCAGCCTCCCTCTCTCCCCTCCCCCTTCTTCTGCCGGCCGCGGGACCGCCATCCGGCTCAGCTGGATACCCAGGCGCCTGCGGCGCTTGACAGCAACTCAGAGTCCCACCTTTGATCATCCTTTCTCCCCAACAGACCTTGACAAGGCCAGCGTGGCCCCCCCGGACCTCGGAGGGCGCGTTCCAGGCGGGTTCTCTCTCCGCAGTGAGCCAGGAGAGCTAGGGGAAGGTCCTTGCGCATGCCAGGTGCACAGACAACGCGTTCGCCAGCCCCAGTGCCGGTGTGCCGCGGCGGGCCGGGCAGTGCCTGAGAGGCTGCACTCCCACGGCCCTCCCGGTCTTGGCCCCAAGTGCGGTCCAGACTCAGCCTTCCGTCGACCAGGCCGCTCAGACGGCGTCGGACCCGCAGCCCTGCCCCGCTGCGGCCAGTCGCGCCTGGCTAACTTTGAAGGGGGAAAACTGAGAAGCCGGGCTGGAGGGAGGGGGCTCGGGGCCGCGTGGAGCTCCCTTGGCCCCCCGGAGCCCCCGGGCCCCCCGGCAACCCCCTACGAGTCTGCTGCAACCTCAGCATTGGAGCCAGCGCGGGTGTCTCCCCCGCGCCGCCGGGCCGCCCTGGGCGGGACTCCTCCCGCGGCCTCCCGGGCCCCGGGGCGCGCGCAACAGGCGGCCCGAGTCAGCGGGAAGCTGGAGCGCCGGCGGCGTCGGCCTCGGAGGGGTGTGGAGAGGCGAGGCCAGGCAGAGCCCCGCGCAGCCATGGAGTCGCTCCTGCTGCCGGTGCTGCTGCTGTTGGCCGTACTGTGGACGCAGGCAGCCGCCCTCATTAACCTCAAGTACTCGGTAGAAGAGGAGCAGCGCGCCGGGACGGTGATCGCCAACGTGGCCAAGGACGCGCGCGAGGCGGGCTTTGCTCTGGATCCACGGCAGGCCTCTGCCTTCCGTGTGGTGTCCAACTCAGCCCCGCACCTGGTGGACATTAACCCCAGTTCGGGCCTGCTTGTCACCAAGCAGAAGATCGACCGCGACTTGCTGTGCCGCCAGAGCCCCAAGTGCATCATCTCGCTCGAGGTCATGTCCAGCTCAATGGAGATATGCGTGATTAAGGTGGAGATCAAGGACCTGAACGACAACGCGCCCAGCTTCCCAGCGGCACAGATCGAGCTGGAGATCTCAGAGGCAGCTAGTCCTGGCACGCGCATCCCGCTGGACAGCGCTTATGACCCGGACTCGGGCAGCTTCGGCGTGCAGACATACGAGCTCACGCCTAATGAGCTGTTTGGCCTGGAGATCAAGACGCGCGGCGATGGCTCACGCTTTGCGGAACTTGTGGTGGAGAAGAGTCTGGATCGCGAGACACAGTCGCACTACAGCTTTCGCATCACCGCACTCGACGGCGGCGACCCACCGCATCTGGGCACTGTCGGCCTCAGCATCAAGGTGACCGATTCCAATGACAACAACCCGGTGTTTGGCGAGTCCACCTACGCAGTGAGTGTGCCAGAAAACTCACCTCCCAATACACCAGTCATCCGCCTCAATGCCAGCGACCCAGACGAGGGCACCAATGGCCAGGTGGTCTACTCCTTCTACGGCTATGTCAACGACCGCACGCGTGAGCTCTTCCAGATCGACCCACACAGTGGCCTGGTCACAGTCACCGGTGCCCTAGACTATGAAGAAGGCCATGTGTACGAACTGGACGTGCAGGCCAAGGACCTGGGGCCCAACTCCATCCCGGCACACTGCAAGGTGACCGTCAGCGTTCTCGACACCAATGACAACCCGCCGGTCATCAACCTGCTGTCAGTTAACAGCGAGCTGGTGGAGGTAAGCGAGAGCGCCCCCCCGGGCTACGTGATTGCACTGGTGCGGGTGTCTGATCGAGACTCGGGCCTCAATGGGCGCGTGCAGTGCCGATTGCTGGGCAACGTGCCCTTTAGGCTGCAGGAGTATGAGAGCTTCTCCACTATCCTGGTGGACGGACGGCTGGACCGCGAGCAGCATGACCAGTACAACCTCACGATCCAGGCACGCGACAGCGGTGTGCCCATGCTGCAGAGTGCCAAGTCCTTTACAGTTCGCATCACCGACGAGAATGATAACCACCCGCACTTTTCCAAGCCTTACTACCAGGTCATGGTGCAGGAGAACAACACACCTGGCGCCTACCTGCTTTCCGTGTCTGCCCGAGACCCCGACCTGGGTCTCAATGGCAGTGTCTCCTACCAGATTGTGCCGTCGCAGGTGCGGGACATGCCTGTCTTCACCTATGTCTCCATCAACCCCAACTCGGGCGACATCTACGCGCTTCGATCCTTCAACCACGAGCAGACCAAGGCATTCGAATTCAAGGTCCTGGCCAAGGATGGCGGCCTGCCTTCGCTGCAGAGCAACGCCACGGTTAGGGTCATCATCCTCGACGTCAACGATAATACCCCGGTCATCACGGCCCCACCCTTGATCAACGGCACTGCCGAGGTCTACATCCCCCGCAACTCTGGCATAGGCTATCTGGTGACCGTCGTCAAAGCAGACGACTATGATGAGGGTGAGAACGGCCGAGTCACCTACGACATGACCGAGGGCGACCGCGGCTTCTTTGAAATAGATCAGGTCAATGGCGAAGTCAGAACCACTCGCACCTTTGGCGAGAGCTCAAAGGCTTCTTATGAGCTTATTGTGGTGGCCCACGACCATGGCAAGACGTCTCTCTCCGCCTCTGCACTAGTCCTAATCTACCTGTCCCCTGCTCTTGACGCCCAAGAGTCAATGGGCTCGGTGAACTTGTCCCTGATTTTCATTATCGCCCTGGGCTCCATTGCCGGCATCCTCTTTGTCACTATGATCTTCGTGGCAATCAAGTGCAAGCGAGACAACAAAGAGATCCGGACCTACAACTGCAGGTAGAGCCAACTTTTTTTCTTTCCTTTGTCTTGGATGAATAAGGTGTATCTGTGTCTCAGTGTGAAAATCCCAGTGCTTTTGTTTCCTACTTAAATGCATGCTGTGTACATACTGCGCTTCTTTTTGGAGGGGGGAAAGTTTGTGGCAGTCCTAGTTGATCAATTCTTTTGATCTGACAATTTGCTGGAAGACAATCATTTACTGTTCGAGTGGTGGATTCTGTCACATAATGATGATGAGCAGGAAAGCAATTATCATTTTAAAATTCGTGCAGCTGTCTCCATGAAGTTATGGCAGGAAAAAAATGAGAGAGAGAGAGAAAGAGAGAGTCAATTTTCAGCAGAACCACCAACACCAAGTCCCACAACTTGATTTCAGGGGCACAGTGTTTTGGGGACAGATACTGAAAGGAGAGGGAGTGCTGGTAGTTGCCTGGTCCTGTTGTAGGGAAAAACTGAAGAGAGCCTGTGAGTGGGTATCTAAGGTAGGAGACAGTGGAGGGAAAACAGAAATGTGTGGGGAAGCAGGTGACTAGTGTTTTTTTTAAAAGTGTGTTCTTGGCTTGTTTTGTATCCATTCCCCAAAACACCTGGCTATGTATGGTGAAATTCTACCAGTCATTTATGTTTTCACATATCTGGTTGGTTGGTGGGGTAGAGACCAAACATCCCAATGAGGGATAGGACTTCACTTCCAGATGTTGCAGTAAAAATAGCAATCTTCTGGAGCTGATGGTGTTTTTCTGTAATGTGGGATTCAGCTGTGGCATTAAGATCTGGTCCCTACCAGTGGATGTCACTATGGGCTATTGTGTTACAGTTTCTCTTGAAGCGTATG